ACAGTGTGGGGACAGTCCGTGTGGACAGTCCCTGTGGACAGTGTGTGGGGACAGTCCGTGTGGGGTCAGCGGGGCAGCAGCGAGCGCGCTGGGCAGAGCTGGGGCAGCGGCGGGCAGGACCCAGCGTGGGGAGGGCAGCTGCGCCGGGGCGCAGGCCGCGGGGAGGGAGCGCGGTGAGGCGCGGGGCGGGCCGCCCACTGACCTCGCACCTGCTGCTCCAGGCTGAGGATGACGGCCACGGCCTGGTGCAGGATGAGCAGTTTGGTCTGCGGCTTCTCGCTGCTGAGGTGCAGCTGGCACATGCGGCCGAGCTCCTTAAAGGCCTCATTGATGTCGCGGACGCGCAGGCGCTCGCGGGCATTATTGGCCACCCGGCGCTCCTTCTCCCGCTCAGCCTTCTGCTCTGGGGGGAGAAGGTCGTCCTCATCCTCGTCTGCGCTATGGGGGAGGGGAGCCGGGGGCCAGAGGGAGACAGTGAGGTGACAGGCGGCTGGCCTGCAGGGCCTCCCGGGTCTCAGGGCAGGTGAGACGTGTGTGTGTGTGTGTGTGTGTGTGTGTGTGTGTGTGAGACGTGTGTGTGTGTGTGTGTGTGTGTGTGTGTGTGTGTGTGTGTGTAGCGTGTGATGTGTGCACATGTGCCCCGAGGGGAGGGGTTTGGCACCTGGTGCGTGTGCGTGGGGCCTTCAGGTCCTTCTTGTCCTCCTCGGCGTCTGCCACTGACGCATTCTCCTCGTCCTCCTTCTCCTCCCGCTTGATCTCACCGGCGCCCGCTGTGGCCGCCGCCCTCCCGAGTCCTGCAACCAGGAGGGGGTGAGGGGGCAGCAGCCACAGGCCCACCCCAGGAGGCCCCAGGCCCCAGGAGGCCCTGCCAGGGTGCAGCAGGCGAAACACAAGACAACCAGGACCTCTGCCTCAGCTCGCACCACCCAACACTGGCCAGGCTCAGAGGTGCTCCCCACTGGAGCCTCCAGACACTGAAGGAGGCTGGAACCCCGCCTCACGTCACGTCACGTCATGCAACCACGAGCTGGAGACAGGAGGAAACCTGCACTGTCTCAACAGCTCGGATTCACAATTTCTAGACGTGTATTGGAACAGCCGGCCAGTGGTGGCGCACGCCTATAATCCCAGCGCTCAGGAGGCAGGGGCAGGCAGATCTCTGAGGCCAGCCTGGTCTACACGGCGAGTCCAGGACAGCCAGGGCTACACAGAGAAACCCTGTCTCAGAAAACCAAACCAAACCAAACCAATAGGAAGTAAAGAGATGGGGGGAAGAAGCCCTGCTGTAAACTCCAGGCAGGAGCGAGTTTGTGGAATCCTGCATGAGGAGGCAGTACTGTCTGTCACTCCCGCACATGGAGGCTGAGCTATGAAGGCCACAAGTTCAAGACCAGCCTGTGGTACACAGGGAGGTCAGGTCGGCACATGCCTCATCCCAGCACCTGGGTAGCCAAGGCCAGAAGTTCAAGGTCATCCCAGCTACACAGTAACTTAGCCACGATGCTAAGCTTAGAAAATAACCCACGACAGGCCAAATGCTGAGTGGAGCTGCCTGGGTTTTAAAAGTTGGCTTCAGAAGCGCTGACAGGAACCTTGCACACAACCATTCACAACTGACACCCAGGACCGGGTCCTCCTCTGTGGACATCATCCCTGGCCTCACACACGCCGAATCCAGAGTCCCTAACACTGCCAGTGGCTCCCCATGACCACCGGAAGTCACCTGTGAATTCTAAGGTGGGCCGTTCCTGCCCTGCCCTCCGCTGGCCCACAGGGTCCCTGCACGCTGGCCTGTCATAGCCTCGCCTCCTCATCTCCCTTCTCTCCCTACAAGGGCTCTGCCCCGCACCACCCTGCCCGGGGCCTCTGCACAGGCCGTGCCTCTTCTACAGGGTCACCCTCCAGGACCCCCGATTCTATTTCCTTCCACCTGCTCTATGTCCTGCTGGCATCTCCTATCAAAAATGCACCTATCCTAGCCTCTCATCTGAGAAACAGGCACCCCCACTTTGCTGGAATCCGGGGGCCCACCTTGTGGCATCAGAACACAACAGTCCCAAGCCTGTAGGCTGCAGGACCTAGACAACAGAGACGGGCACCCTGACTGCTCTTGGTCCCTTGGTGGCAGGGAATTGTGTGTGTGTGTGTGTGTGGTGTGGTGTGTGTGTGTGTGTGTGTGTGTGTGTGCGCGCGCGCGCGCACGCACACGCGCAGGCACAGGGGTTAAGGGCAGGAGAGCAGGGAAAGTCATCTGTCAGGCGTCCAGCTCTTGTCACTGACTTATCCCTGGATGGTCCCTCACCGAACCTGGAGGACTGATTTTCTGCACAGCTGGCTACCAGCCTCAGGGACCCTCCTGCCTCTGGCCTCTCAGGGCTGGTCACACGCCTGGCCTTCTAAGGTGGCTTACAAGGTCTGCTCAGGGGAAGGGCACGGAGAGTGCATCTCCCCACCATGGGCTCTCAGTGGTAGGCTTGTCCGCTGCAGCCTACCGGCCCGAGTAGGTCTGTCTCCGCCTCCCCAGCATGCAAGGCCGTGCACACGCCACTGTGCTTTCTCCAGGCTTCTAGGGCCCCCAGCTCAGCTTCAGCGGCGGGTTACCTACAGACCGAATCTGCCTCCAGCCCCGGGACAGGAATCCTGTCCTTCCCCTCTCTGCTTCGGCCCAAGACTTACCGCTGTAGGAGTCTGGTGGCCTCTGCGGAAGGTCAGGGAGGGAGCCCGGCTGGCTCGGGAGGCTGGCATGGCTGTGCAGAAGAGCGGCACCACTGGCGAGGCCATCCTCAGGGTGGCTCCCACCGACCTACGGCAAGCGAGGAGATATGTCACCATGGCTGCAGTCCCAACGCGCCACCCACCCCAACCCAGGCGGGTACTCACCAAGCCTGCGTGCCGCCCGCCCAGTGGCATGGGGCCTGAAAAGCTTGTGGTCAGGGCCCCATGGCCAGGCAGAAGTCCGTGGAGATCGCTGGCCGTGCCAACAGCGTGGCTTCGAAGGACATGAATGGCCTCATCCAAGCGATCCTCCATCTTGCCCTGCTGTGAGGGTGGGGAGGGCAGGCACTGAGGGGCAAGCGCATGCGTGAACACGCTCACACACTCATATGCATGCACACATTGTTTTTCTTTTTTTTTTCCAAGACAGGGTCTCTCTGTATCCCCTGGCTGTCCTGGAGCACTCTGCAGCCCCGGCTGGCCTCTGCCTGCCTCTGCCTGGGATTGCAGGTGGGTGCTATCACACCCAACTCTTATTTTTTATTTTTTGGTGCATATGCTCACTTTTAATTGCTTCAACCAGGATTTCCCTCTGTGGTCCAGGATACTCAAACTTGTAATCCACCCCAGCTCGCCTTGCTCCTGAAGACCCGCCTGCCTCTACATCCCAAGAGCAAGCGGACCCGACGGGCGGTGACACCAGAACCCGTGTCTGCCGTGCTGGTGAGAGCCCAGGGCCTCGCACACGGCAGGCGAGTGCTCTGCTACTGATCCCCAGTGCAGCAGCAGGCGACTTGCCCCTCACCACTTAAAGCCTGTGTCCCCCGAGGCTCGCCATGGCCTCTCCTGTTTGGAAGCTGCCCTGACTGGGACTCAACTGACTTCTCTCCCAGGAGGGCTCCGTACTGCGCTGGAGATTGGACAGAGGGGCATCTGGTGCCCCGGCTGGCGGGGAGGGGACACTCACCAGGCCATGGAGACCCCCATCGTAGCCGGGGGATAAGGCACTGGGCACCCCTGCCCGGGGCCACTGTGATGTCCCTGGAAGAAAGGCATGGGTGGGAAGACGGGCAGTGGGGACAGGGTGGAGAGCTTGCCTACATCTAGATGCCCTCCAAGACATGTGGCATAGCCACCCGAACCCTCCCCGCCAACCCCAGAGGAAGCAGCCCCGACAGAAGCAGCTTGACACAAGCAGGGGCTTCAAAGACAGTTTCCTCCTGTCCCTCCAGGCCTGAGCTCACTGCCCCACGCACAAGCAACACAGTTAGCTCCAGAGATGACTAGACAGGCCAAGGTGAAGACAGGTGTGGAATGTGCTCTGTAGACCAGGCTGGCCTCGAACTCAGAGATCCATCTGCCTATGCCTCCTGAGTGCCACCACACCATGCAGAGTGAGTTATTTTTAACCCCAACCCCGCAGGACTTCTGGAAGCCTGCAGCTCCTGGCTTCCCTTGTCCCTGGCAGATGACACTGGAGTGGTACGCCTCACCAAAGCCAAGCCTGAGGTCCGCAGTTAATGTTTATCGAGTGGACAGGTAACAGGCTGAGCCCAGCTCTCCTCACCCAAGCGCCACCTCTCACTACCTAGCCAGGGCTGCAGACTGGGGGAGCCCGGGGGTCACGGTGGTTTCCATGCCCCACACACCTGGCAGGCCCTGGGGTGAGCCCACAGGCGTTGAGGGGCTAGATGAGAAGTTATTGCTGGAGTGATCCGGAGAGTAGATCTGCAGTGGGAGGAATAGAAGATGGGCAATCAGGGCCACCATGAGGCTACCAGAAGCCCCCTCTGCCAACACCCGGGACCCTGCTCACCGAGGCCAGCGCCTTCCCAAGGGCATCCCCTGAGCTGCTGGCTGTAGTCCCTCGAGCACCTGTGGGAGGACAAGTGAGCCCCAAGCTGGGAGCCTCCATCCTGAAAGCCGAGCAGGACCCCCACCCCGCCCGAGGGCCCCAAGTCAGCATCGGCAGAAGCCACGGCCCCTGTCCAGTTCCTGCCTAACGCTGACACCTGCCTTCCAGGTGAACGAGGCTCCCTCTCTGACTGGTTTACCAGAGTGAAGTGGAAAACTTACTTTTCATGGGATTATGTCTCCAATAATGTACCAAGGCCAACCTGGCACAGGGAGAGACCATGTCCCAGGCTCTGGGGCCCAGCAAGTGTCCCTTTCCCATGGAGCCCTGACGTCTGTCCTGTGGCTCCCACCCTGGCCCAGCAAACCCCAGGTGTGGCCTTACCCATAAGGCTGTCGGCCCCACTCACAGGTGGTGTGTGGCCAGAGGTTCCACCATAAGTGCCAGGGGTGGCTGAGAAGCTGGACACAGCCGGAAGTGAGCCATTGACCTCAGATCCGTGCAGCTGGTAGCTCTGAGGGGACAATTAGTAGGCGATGGTCGAGGGGCGGGCAGGGCGAGGCGAATGTGGTACCCCCCGGGCCCCCGACCGCAGCACATACCACGCGTTCCTGCTGCTGGAGGCCCCCAAAGGCACCGCTTCCCACGGAACTGCTGCCCGGTGCAAGGGGTAGAGGGGACGAGCCATCACCTAGCATGGGCCCAAAGCCCGCTTGGCTCGGGGGACTCCAGAGCTCCGCTGAGGGATGCAGGCTGCCGTCTGTGTAGAGGGGGACGGTGAGTGGAGGAAGCCTGGTCCCACAGGGGGGACCCCCCCCCAGGAGCCCCGCGCACCTGCCATGTAGAAGGGGGAGGGATAGGCGCTGCTGGGGGTCTTGGCGGAGGGGTAGGCCACAGCATCCCTGCTGTAGCTGTCACCTGAGCTGGCTGGATACACCTGCAGGAGGGTACAGTCAGCCAGGAGGAGTGGAGGCACGGCTCCCCAGCCCCGTCTTCCTTCCCTGCCAAGCCCAGGATGGAGTCTGGGGTGTTCACTTCTGACAACTCACTTCCCTGCGCTACCTTAGGCCTCTCCTGCCTCTCCAGGGCACCCTGGCATGCCTCACAGAAAAACTCCTGGTGAAACCTCAAAGCCCCACCTCTAATGTTCAGCTCTCTTGTTTTTCCTCGTCTAGCATCTGCCAGTGTGGAAACCTCCCTGTCCCTCCAGTACGTAGGACCCCGGGCCACAGAGCAAGAGTCCCAGCATAGTATCTGGCCCTGGTTCCCCAGAGCACAGAAGGTGCAGAAGAGACAACAGCATTGATCCTGACCAGGTGGCACCGTCTGGAACTCTTGAGAGTCTGAAGAACAGAGCAAGGACCAGCCCCCACTGTCTGCCCCGGCAGAGGACATGGGACGGGAGCAGTGCTCATGCCTGCCCTGGCAGAGGAACAGGTAGCAAGTCTGAGCCGGCTGCCGCGTTAACTTCCACTTAGCATAAGTGGGTTCTGTTGGCCACAGTCTATCTGATCTCAGCTCTGGCCCCCAACTCTCCCTGTGTGTATTTCTGGGGAGCTTTCGTCTATGTTTCCCTCCTGCCCACCCCAGTCCTGACATCAAAGGAAACGGCAGGGCTCCGGAGCCACAGAGGAAGCAGGTGCCCGAGGCTTTTGTAGATGAGGTGCCATGGCGCCTCTCCTGCCTTTACCTCCCCAGAGCTGGGGGAGGTGGCCAGGTTGGAGAATCCGGCACACTGCCTTTCTCAACACGATTAAATCACAGGCACACGGTGCCGTGAGCCACGGAGGGCCAGCCACCATCTGCTGGGGTTGGCAATCTGCCAGTCACCAAGCCGATGGGCGGGACACTGGCAGCCTTGGCAGGTGGGTGTGGCTGGAGAATAGGTGGGACCTGGCTCCCCACCCCCAAAAGGTCTTAGCCACAAAACCCACTCCTAAAGTGAGGGAACGAGGTGGGGCCTGAGAAAGGACCTCCCTGAGGAACTGGGGAGGGGGTGGCACACACTCAGTTCACACACATCCGGCCTTGGCAACCCTCAAAGCTCAAAGCCTGTCATCCTCAAGACGTGGCCATGGCTTCTGGAATGGAAAACTCATGGAGCTATGTGGCAGCTACAGGCATAGGGCTGTACCGCACTCACCGAGGAGGGAAGACCAGGCGGAACTTTCCGGACCTTCTTGGGCTGTGTGTCTGTGGAGCAAGAGCAGGGAAGAAGGTCTGGCCTCTGCCCCTATGTGGGCCCTACCGGGCTGGGGTCCCTGACACTTGAGGGGCCTCCTGATGCAGCTACTAAGAAGCTGCTTTCTAGGAGTACTCAGGAGGCTGCGGCAGCAGAGCTCTATGATTTTGAGGCTGGCCTGAGCTACACAGAGAGTTCTGGGGTAACGACAGCTACACAGAGAAACCCTGTCTCAAAAAACAAAACAAACAAACATAAAAACCCTGGTCCCATCACTGGAACTCCAAGATCCAGGAAAACATCTTGGGGACCCTGCACAGAGGGGCTTGGGGGCGGTGAGCCCAGCAGTCCCAGGCCAGCACAGCCAGCAACTGGTGCACACCCTGTGGGCGTGGGGTCCAGCCACCCAGTGCGAGGCCCTCTCTGGATGCAGGACCGCAGCTCATCCTACTCTAGGGGCTAGCACCGGTGGCCACCGAGGGACAGGGGCACACACTTCAGCCTCGTCCACAGGTATTCCTGTCACCCCACGCCTGGCGCCTAGCCCAGGCCTCAGTCTTTGCCACGCCTGCCCCTCCGGCATCTCCGTGTCCCTGGCCCTCACTCACCCAGGCCACCATCTGCAGCTCTCCGCCGAGGGTTGCCGGGGTACGAGGGGTAATACTGGGAGCTGCTCTTGACACCCGTTGGAGACAGTGGCCCAGGGCTGCTGAGTCCCAATTCACCGGGCAGGAAGCCAGCCTGGGGAATGGTGACACCGTGCTGAGGCTGACGTCAGACCCAGGACAACCCCTGCCTGGAGACAGCCCTGCCGGCTGTGAAGAGCAGTGAGGGAGGGCAGGTCCCGGCTGCAAGCCTCACTTTCGCACAGCACTCAGGACCTGCCCTCCCCCTCCACAGGCACGCTCCAGCTCACCCCCGCCACGAGCTCACCCCCACCACAGGGCAGAGCCCCACCCTGGGGCCTCGCCTGCCGGTCTGCACTCCACTGAAGCTCACGCCGGCACAGCCGGGTCAGGGACCCCATATGCGGCCCAGCTCTACTCCTCACACTTCAGAGGTGACATGAACGTGACCATCCTCAGGGCACAGCCTGGTCCCAGCAGGTGTTAACTGCAGCTACTGGAGTGCGGCCAACCCTCAGGCTGACCTCAGAGGTCAGGCCAACTATGCCCTTCCACCTCAGTTTACCTGACCCAGTGGGCCAACACTGCTGTCTCTCCCAAAGCTGGCATAGGTGCTCCGCTCACCACCCTTGCCTACAAGAGACAGAAGAAACTCACATGAGGCCCGGGAGACTGAGGGGTGGGGGATGGGAAGGACGACACACATGGTACGTGGGGGGTCACACACGGTGGGGGGTACACATGGCGGGCCTCTAGGGCACACTCAGCTGCCCAGGCCCCCGATACAGGCCAGTGGACAGGGTTCCCTAGCAACAGTGGGACCAACTAATCTGCAGCTTTTTCTGGTATTTTGTTTCAGATTTATTTATTATTTTATGTGTAACAGCGTTTTGCCTGAAAGTCTGCCTGCAGACGGATCACATTCCCTGGGACTGGAGTTGTGGATGCTGTGAGCCACGACGGGGTGCTGGCTTGAGCCTGATTCCTCTGTAAGAGCAGCCAGTGCTCTTAACCACCGAGCCATCCTGCAGCCCTGTTCTGGGGCAGGGTGTCATGCAGCCCAGGCTAGCCTTAAACTCACCACTCCCCTTCCTCTACCTCCCAAACGCCTGGATTCTGAGGGCTGCTGACCCTGCCAGTCCTCAGCGCTCCCAGGGTATACCCTGGGGAACACAAGAGGAATCAACAGGCCGGAACGGACACAGCTGGACTCTGTGGGAACTGCCCTGTGGCCCTGCCACCCTCTCAGGCAGGACACCCAGGGGAGAGGCGGGAAAAGGAAGCCCAAAAGGGAACATGCACCCCACAACTTCTGAGGCCACTCTGGGCCACGGTGGTCGGAGCCGGGGTCAGTGCTGACCAGTTCCGGACTGAAGAACAGAACGGCGGACTGAGGCAGAGCAACAGCCTTCCTGCCTTTCCAGGCCTCCTGACCCATGCTCGGTGACTGGTGCCCACAGTGCCCCTGCAGACAAGGCCAAGAACCAGCCATGGGGGAAGCGGCATCCGGCACAATGCCCGCCTCGATGCCCAGGCTGGGCTGCTGACGGACGGCTGGTGCTCCACTTCTAGCCCACTGTGCCCCGAGGCCCTCCTGAGATTACCACACAGCAGCTACACTCACCTCCAAGCCCAGGTCCTAGGAACGTGGAAGGCAGGCCACTGTGGGACTCACTGAAGTGGGCACCTTCGCTGTATGTCTAGGGGAGACGGACGCGGTGAGAGGTACAGGCCACATGTGCTCAGCCACCATAGTGGCTTTTCCTCAACCCCTGCCCAGGAAAGAAGGGAGCCCTGGGCCTCACAGAGGCGCCTCACCCGGCTGGGGTCGAAGGAAGGACTGTTCTGATCACTGTTCCCCCAGGAGCCTGAGCTCGGTCGGTCCTCAAGTCCTGCAGGAGGCAAAGGGAAGCCTAGCCCAGTCCTCAGAGGACCCAGAAGGCTTTGGGATCCCTCCTTCACCCAGATATGCCTAACAGCAATAAGGTCAGTCTCCTGTCCCACACAGCCTGGGATTCTGTCCCTACAGAGGCTACTGTAGCTCAGTAACGTGACTACTAGCTGTCAATCCTGGCAAACTCCTACTTAGCCATCAAAACCGCAGCTACTGTGTCCGTTCTTAGTCCCATGGACAGGCCTCTTGATCAGGTGTATGTCTGATCATGCAAGATGGGACATCTCACTCAGAAATGGTTGACGGTGGTTCACAGGGCTTCATCCCTGGTACAGGGCCTCTACCAGGGAGGCCCACCAGGTCAGCGGGTAAGGCCGACTGTCAGATGGTGACAGGTGACAGAGGCACACCTGGCTCCACTCCTGCTGCCTCAGAGGAAGGTCAAGGGTATACTGCGGTGAGGTAGGGGTTAACCAGCCTGGAGACCAGAGGACCTTGTCCTGAGGGGCGGGGAAAGGCAGGGCTGGGCCCTTATCTCCCCCAACACTCCTCTCAGGCAGCTAACGGCCTGTACCTCCAGCATTCTCCCCTGCAGTAAATGCTGGCCTTCCTGCCACCCTGCCCCTACCCACAGGGACCAAAGGGCCCACATTCCAGCCCCCAAATTGGCTATATGGCCCCGCCGTGTGCCTCAGTTTCCCTAACGTGAACCTGGGCCTACAAGCACACAAAGGACTGAGGTGTCCACACCCTCACTCCACACTCCAGGGGTCTCCTGGGCCTGCCCTCCCCCTCTGCATCCCATGAGCAAGCTCCCCCCCCCCCCACAGCTCCACTCTAGAAACTTTCAAACCCCAGAGACTTTATTAGGAGCCTTTGTGTTCATCATCCCCTCCCCGGAGAATCAGGTTTAATTGTGGCCTGATTTGCATAATTATGCATATTAATTGGCAGCTCATGAATATTCACCCCTCAATTACACCTTCTTGTTTCCTGATAAAGTTCCAGGGTGTTGGGGGGGGGGGGTGCGCGGTCCTAGGGGCTTCCAGAAATTCCCTCCAGCATCAGGTACAGTCTGCGGGTGTCTACACCCCAGAATTCTTAGCTGTCCGGCAGGGCTGGTGTGAGGCTGGGGGGCTGGTACCCACACTGCTGGCAGCTCCCACCAAACCCCATTCAACGTGAACCCCAGGGGCACACAGGGGCACACAGGGCCCTCTAGAAGCCCGGGCCCAAAACAACTGCCAGGACCAGCAGTCGTGACGCCCAAACACGTCAAACCCTGTCCCATCCCTAAGAGCCCGGTGATACTGAAGACAAGACCCCGGACACCCTTAGCACAAGCCCTGCGAGCCCTGTCGGGAGCCCCTCCCCCATCCATTAATACAGTTATTAAAATCACCCCACGGATAAATTATGCATCTTAATAGCCCTGACATGCATATTCATAGCACAGTTTCACTTGTGTACTAATTGAAACATTCTAATAGACGACGCTGATGGCAGGCATGCTCTCTGACGGTTCCTCTCCTGTCCTCTGAGGAGAGGCACTGGGGGGAGTGGGAAAGGAACGGGCACCTCCTTGGAAAGAGCGCAGGGTCCAGCCCCACTCAGAGCTTGGCCCCATCAAGCTCAGCCAACCTTAGGGGAGGACCACAAGGCCCACGCTTGGAACGCTGTTCTTTTGTGGGGACTGTTGGCACTTTGGCCCCAGACTTGTTTTTATAAATAAAGTTTTACTGGCACACAGTTCTCCTGTTCATGTCTGTCTACAGCTGTGTTTGTACCCGGATAGCCCGACTGAATGGTTGCTATAGTCATTATTAGACGCTTCAGACACAGCCAGCTGTCCTGGTATGGAGGAATGTGGGAGCCCAGCACAAGAGTACAGTCCAGTCTGGCAAGAAGCACCCCCACAGAGGCTCAGGGACACCAGCTCACAGCACCAGTTCTGCTCCAGCCTTCTAAGCACCCCCAATCCCTTCTCCTTACTTCCACAGCCCATTCGACAGGGCTGGGGCAACGCCAGCCACTTGCAGCTAAGGTCCAGCCGACACTGTCCCAAGCAAACACGACAAAGCTCTCAAACAAAACCTGCCTTCCCTCCACCCAGGACTGCTGAAGGCAACAGCAAGTCTGAGACCACCCAGTCTTCACAACACATTTCCAAAACACCAAACGCACCAAAGAAAAAGCAGATCCAACGGCTGCGGGCCTAACAAGAACTGTGGGAGCTCTGTACCTGGGGGCACCTCAGCAGAGAACCACACACCAGGTCTAGGCGGGATTCACCCTGACCATGCCCCAGCCCCTCACTGAAGGATTCTGGGCAGGGGCTCCACCCCTGAGCCACAGCCCTCCCACTTGCAAGTCAAACCTGGAAGACTAGGTGGTCAGCATTTGCCTAGCACGCTTGAGGCCCTGGGTTCCATCCTAACACACCGTCCCCCATCACGTTGAAAAGATTAGTGAGCACTTGGATTCTAAACTCCAGGAAAGAAAGATAAGAACTTTAAAAAGAGGAATTAAGATGAAAGTAGAAAGGAGTCGATGGCAAATATCGATTCTCCAAGGAGCAGATTCCACAGTGTGAGATCAATACAACAGATATAGGAGAGGGAGTCAAGGACAAAGGGAGAGAGGCAGGAGGCAACTTTATAGGCCACAGCGGAACAGTCAAACCTGATGGGAACAGATGGCCCTGCTTTTGTTTTGAGGCTCCTGTAGCCCAGGCTGGCCTGGAACTCACAACCCTCCCCGCCTCCTCCTAAGAGCCAGGACAGGCTCACACTCCCACACTTGGCTTGGGTGGTCTTTGCTTCCTTCTCCTAAACGGCAGTGGGAAGGGGAGGGACAGACACAGCTTGAGTGGGAATGGCTGATGTCAGGTTCCGGCTGCCTCTGCTGACCGGGCTGTCTGAGTGAGAGGACACGCAAAGGCAGGCTTGGGATGCAGCGAAGCTGCAGCACAGAAGGTCAGATCAGATCTGAGGGGCACTGTGGGGCAAGCAGACTATATGTAAGCACGGGGGAGATGGCTGTTGGGAAATGCTTGCTGGTACCAGCGCGAGGACCTGTGTTCCAACCCCAGAACCCACCTAAAAAGCCAGGCACAGTGCTACACATACTTGGGACCCCTTGGGGAGGTGTAGACAGGAGATCCCTAGGGCCACTAGCAGGCCAGCTTAGCTGAAGGTGAGCACCAGGTATAGAGAAGGCCTGGTTCAAAAAACCACAGTGGAGAGTGATTAATAAAGACACCACTGTCAGCTTCCAGTGCACATGCACACAGATGCAATCACGTGCACACACACACACCACACACACAGAGTAATGCAACGCCACAGAAAAGCCACTGAGGGGGGACGCCAGGCCAGAGAGGCACAGAAGACGGCAGAGCTCAGACTCTACTTAGTCTCTGTCAAGCTGGCACAAGCTAGGTCATCTGGGAAGAGGAACCTCAACCGAGAAAGCGCCTTGGCCAGATTCGCCTATGGGCACTTGTCCTGGCGCTGCAGGAAAGCAGGCTGAGGAGCCCCCCAGGGCTGTGCTTTAGCTCTGCCTCCAGGTTTCTGCCATGACTTCTCCCATGACAGACTGTGACGTGAAAGTACAAGCCAGGGACAGGCTCTCCTGAGATGCTTTCCGTCACAGTGTCTATCACAGTGACAGAAAGCACACTGGGACATTCGCTGCGATGCTGGTCAGCACTGTGGTTTGTGACAGGGTCTCACTAAGTAGCCCAGGCTGAACTCGGAGACCCGTCTGCCTCTGTCTGCCCAGTGCTGGAATGAAAGGCGCAGCCACCATGCCTGGTAGCAGTAGAGTCCTTCCTTTCCATTCTGGAGGCACTTGATTCAGTCTCCAGGGGCCAAATAAAACAAAATAAATATAAACTATACCCTATTGAGCCAGACAGCTGATTCAGTGGTGCATAGCCCTGGCTGATCTTCCAGAAGCCCCAGGATCAGTTCCCAACACCCACATGCAACTTGTAACTCCACATCCAGAGGATCTGATACCCTCTTCTGGCCACCATGAGTACCAGGCATACAAGTGGGGTATAGATATTCATGCAGGCAAAATATCCACACACATAAAATGAAATAAAATATATAAACCCCAGAAAGCTACTTAGAGAAGGAAGCTCTGGGCGGTATTTCAAACAATCCATGAACCTTCCCCGCATTGTTTCTGTTGCCTGACTCGGCCTCCTCTGCTCCTCCACTTCCTACTTTCCCTGCTGTGCTGTTCAGCCCTATTCAGTGAGAAAGAACCCTAGGTTTCGGCCTCCTGATAATCAGCGCAGGAGCAAGCACCTCCCAACTGCTCTGCAGCTGCCCGGAATGGGACTCTAGGAACAAAACATGAAGTCACCACACAATACATTAGAAACACAGAGAGAAGATGCGGTGTTTTTGAGTTTTAGTTTTTTTAGATGGGGTCTTACTGCATCACTCTGGAAACCTGGAGCTCCCCGTGTATACTAGGCTGGCCTCTGCCTCCCCAGTGCTGGATTAAAGATGTACACCCACATCTGCCCTAAGACGCGGCTTTTAGAGCTGAGCAGAGGACACACCTTTAATCTCAAGGCCAGCCCGGTCTACAGAGAGAGTTCCAGGACAGCCGGGACTACACTGAGAAACCCTGTCTCAAAAAAATCAACCAAACAAGCAAACCCGCCAAACAAGCAAGTGAAGTAGGTTGACTTGGCAGTGATAAGAGGAAAAGAGACAGACCCAACAGCTGGGCAGCTTTCTGGGAACCTTTCTGAGCCCCCGTAGGCACCTGCAGCCCAGTACGATCCCACGCGCGCAGCAGAGGTGGGGTCAGGGGTGTCAGAGAGATTAGAATCGGCGCCCCTTCCCACACAAAGAGTGACTGCGAACCAACATGTGTCCTGCGTAAAGTGCAAGCGTGAGCCGACGGACTGTGAGGCAGGCTGGCCTGCAGCCTGGTGGTTGGGCACGTGAGTTCTCACCTCTTTCCTGAGCCTTAAGAGTGACTTAAAATGAAATGCTATCAAGAAAAATTCTGATCAAATCCAAGAGGGCTCAAGCCACGGAAGCAACTCACTGTGAAACTGACAGCTCTCTGTGCCCATCCACGGCTGAGCACTGAGCCCATCTTCCTCAGGCCTGTGTTCCTGTGGGATTGCCCCTGAGCGCCAGGCTCCAGCCACGACCGAACTGTCAGGGCCAGGGGGACCTGCTCTAGGAACCCACTCCTCTATGCACCTTGACTGTCAAGGAAGGAGTGAATGTCTTTTCTGCAACCCAGGTTGGCAGAAGTGATGTCCAGTCCAAGGTGACATGGCCCATGTGGTCTCTGATGGGAGAGTCTGGTCCTTGGGCTTTAGATGCACCCCCTGTTGAACTAAGCTGACTGTGAGGGCCAGCCAACAGTGTCCCCAGGGCAGGGTCACACAGCCCCAAGGCCACACGCTAGGCTTCTTGAGACAACGTGAGCCTGACACCAAGAGTGTGGGTGAGGGCGGGTCTAGAGGATGAGACAGGCTAGACAGACACCAGTGGGTGATATTTTCAAGGTCCCGTTCTGCTAGGCCTGGCGTTCAGGCTGAGCCACCTCCAGGCCCTGGTGCAGACCTTAACAACAAAGGGTAAAGGGTCGGGAGGACACCCTGTCCTCACACTGGCTGCCAACCTTACTTTACCACCCCCACCCCCGTTGCAGCAGGAAGCCTGACCATTGTGGACTGGGGGCTACTTCCGGGGTGATGGGAGCCTGTGGGGATTTCCAGGCCTCCAGGAGTGCCCAGATGGCCCTCCATCCACTTCCTCAGGCCAAGGGGAAGACCAGCCAGGCAGTGACTGAGGGCCTTGCTTTTGGGTGAGGTAAACGAGAGCCACCCCACAAAAGCCTCCCAAATATGTCCTCCGCAGTCCACACACGAGCCTAGCCAGCCGACTGCACCCCATCAGGTCAGCTTGGCTCTGAGATGTTTCTCCTTCAAGATCTTAGAATCCCTGGGTCCCAGGCAAGCCAGGACCACGCACGAACCAAGACCCAATATCTGTTCAAAATGCAATCTCCGGGGGGAGGCCAGGCTGCACAGCTCCCACTGGGCACAAGATGAGAAAATGCCGCTGTCTACAGAGCCAGCCACCACATGGACCTGTCACAGTCCACACGCACACCCCTTCAGTCTCCCTCAATCCTACCTGAGCCAGCAAACTGGGTTCCGGCCAGGGAGGAGGGCCGGCCCTTCCCATTGGCCACGGGGAGCGGGAACATCTGTGGGGACAGAGAGGAGAGTGGTGAGCAGCGCAGGTGAGCTGGGGCGGCAGGAGTGCGCGGCTGAAGGCCCCAAGACTGGGCTTCCTGCAGTGAGGCTGAACACAGAGTTGTGGACAAGCTTGGAGGACTCACACTCAAGCCGGACGGGCCAGACCTCTAGGCCTCTAGGTTAAAGGGGAGGGACAGTGACCCGCTCGCTAGGGGGCATGACTTAGAATTTGGTTTTGTGTGTGCAGAGCCTTGGGGTCATTCCTCAGGAGGAGCGCCTGGTTTTGTTTTTGAGACAGGGTCTCACCTTGGCTGAAACTGCTATGTAGCCCAGGCTGGCCTCGCACTCACAAGCTCCTGCCTCCTGAGTGCTGGGGCTAAAGGTGTGCGGCCATCTTGTTTCTTGAGACATCATCTCTCACTGGCCTGGAGCCTGCCAAGTGGGACAGACCGGCGGCCAGAGTGCTCTTGTGTCTGCCTCCCAGCTCTGGGTTACAGGTGCATGCTGGCATTGAGCTCAGGCCACAACACCTCACCCACTGAGCTGCCTTCCCTGCCCTGACTGTTTCTGAGATGAGTATTCTGTAGTCCAGGGGGGAGGCGCCAGGAGCACGGCACATGACTGTAATCCCAGCACTCTGAGAGGTAGAGGCAGGCTGATGAATCTCTGTGAGTTCAAGGCCAGCCTGGTCTATGGAATGAGCTCCAGGACAGCCAGGGCTACAGAGAGACCCTGTCTTGAAAACAAAAAACAAAAAAAAAAACATAACAAGACACTCAAACAAACAAACAAACAAACAAAAAAAACGAAAAAAAAAATACTGGCTGCTCTTCCAGAGGCCCTGGATAAGGTTCGCAGCACTCACCACCTCTGTAACTCCAGCTGCAAGGCTGTGACGCCCTCTTCTAACTCTCGAGGGCACGGGGCATAAGCATGGTACCAAGTCAAACACACAAAGGCATGCACAATTAATTAACTTAAGAAAAAAGTTAAGAAAAAAAATTTTGTCCACAAAATCTGGACAACTTGGCACACTAGCCTTCCCAGCACTTGGAGGCAGGAGGATAAGGAGTTCATTGCAAGCTCAGGCTACAGAAGATGCTAGCTCAAAATCAAAAGAGTAAGAACTTTAAAAATGCAACCCTCCAACCAAAGAAATTGCCTCCCAGTCTGGCCCCGTGAGTCCTGCTGCGGGAAGTGGCCCCTCCTTGCTTCCACCTCAGCTTCTCATTTGCCCATGGGATGCTCTCTCTCAACCTAACTCAGGGGAGACCCTGGGCCCTGTGGACTGAAGAGGGGGTGGCCCAGACGCTCAAGGTGTTCCCATGGGCCCAAGAGGGCTGAGCTGCACCTCTAAGCTGGTATGTTCCGGGCCATTAGGCCATGACCTGTCAGTTTAACAACAATAAAAACCCAGCAGGCCGGGGCCTCTGCGTGTTCAGCCAGGGGCAACAGGGGGGGGGGGGACAATAAAAAAGGCCTTAAAAATACCAGCAGGGCCTTCCGGAACCTTGGGGCTCCGTCCCCAGGGCTGCATTTCCGCAGGGTGGCTGGGGCTGTTTCGGTGTGGGCACGCTTGTTTTTGTCAGAATTCTGCGGCCTGGGCCCCTTGTGGGGATGAGCAGGGGAGGACAGACCGAAAGTGGCCCTAGGAGCTTTCAGGGTACAATGGTACTTCTGGGGGTTGGGCTGAGATTTCGAGATTCCGGAGTTTAGAAAAACATGCTGGTTCTTCAAGGACAGGTCTATCGTCTCCCAAAAAGGGTGTCCACTATAGAAGGGGTGACTGAGGGTCCTAGGCTGTGGAGATGCCTACTGGAGGCTCTGACTCTCGTCAGACAGCAACCTCTCTGGGCTGGCAAAAAAGGAACACCACAGAATGGGTGCGGAGCAGCCCACCTCTCCCGAGCATGCCTGACTGTCTGCTAACGGACAGGCCAGGGGCCGCCCAGAGCTCTCCCCTCACTTGCTCGGAGCACCCAGATGGACGGAGGACAGTTATGGGTGCACCAGAGGCGGTCTCCCGTGTGGGCTAGAGACCTCATTCTCACCATCTGTAACTGATGGTCACCAACCCCACAGCCACATGGGGCTTTTGCCGTGAACAAGCTGGGGGAGGACTAGAGCCCTCAACAGTCCTCCCTTCTCTCTGGGCTCACTTTCCAAACTTGTGAAGTGGTAGGTGGGCCCATTTCTTCAGTGGGGTTCACTATGCCCCTGGGGGGCCTCCACTCCCTCTTGAGATTTCTACTTCTGCATACTAGGGGCTCAGCTCCTACCGGCAGACACCCCCCTTTTCAGCCCCCCTCCAGCCTCCCAAGCAAGGGCAGACAGAGCAGGGCAGGGGACAGCTCACCATACTGAAGTCCAGGAGGTCACTGAGTTCTTTGTCAGAGCCCACCGGTGCCATTCTCTGAGACTGGTTCATCGTACAGCCAGGCAGCAGGCGTAGGAACTGGGGTGCACTCCCCAGGCCTAGAGACAGCCCTGTGTGTGGTGACACCCAGGGACAGGAGGGGAGAAACGGAGGAGTTTGACAGCATTGACAAGTGGGGATTAGAGGCAAGGGCCTGGGTCCATGGGGCCCTGGAGGGAGGAGGCAGAGACCCAGGGTTTGGGGGCTCCACTGTGGATCCTTCCCCAGACCAACTGGGAAACCTGAACAACGGGAGCGGGGGTACACACGTGAACTCTCGCCACTCCCAGAGGACCACCAGAGGGTCAAACTGCACATTTTAAACTGGGGGTGTGTCTAGGAATATTATCACCCCCGGGGGGCCCCTACCCACCGGCCCTGACTAGGAGGGGAGGTATGGCCCAGGCTCTGTGTCCTCCAAGTAAATTTGTTGGAGCCTCCCCAGCTGTCACCCTCAAATTCAAAGACTCCACCGGGTTGGTGGAAGAGGTGCTAATCCTGGGGATCACAACTCTCCCTCTCACCCCCCAAAACCCAACCTCATTCAGAAAAGTTAAAAACAAAACAAACAAAACAAAACCTAGCAGGCTGTCTTATTGTCAGGATGTATCCGGGAATTATTCCTGAGAAGTTTGAAAACATCCTTTTACCAACATCACCCTAGTGGGGGGAGGGGGTCCCCAAGCCCTGGGATTCCCCTCTGGTCCCAGGGGCTCTGCTCCACCAGCGGGGGAGGGGATCCACCTGCCAGGCCCACCCCAAGAAGAGCAAGGAGAGAGTGGCCGCCCAGCTCCCATCTAGAAATTTAACTTTTTCCCAGGGTTCCTCCAAAAGGAGAGAGGGCAGTGATGATCCGAGAAACCACAAGGGGAAGGAGGTTCTGGGGTTGAGGGAGGACCCATGTCCAGAAGCTCAGGAACCCCAACTCTTTTGTTTGCCAAGTCAGACACAGAGTGCAAAACAGGTACCCAGAGCAACTCCTCCCCCGCTGTTTCTTTTCTTTCCTTTTTTTTTTTTTTTTTTAATCCTTTTTGGAGGACGTGTGAAACTGACTTTTTTTTTTTTCTTTTAAGTTGTATGAAACCACACTTTTTTTGTGTGGGGTACTTGAAACCCATTTTTCTGGGTAACCCCATGAGGAGAGGTGAAACACTGCTCAGAGTCCACAAACACTTTGGGGAGGGAAGGAATGGGGCAACCTGAGACTTCTTGGATTAAGGGGTGGGAAGCAGAGTTGGGGACAACCCTCCCTTTTCTTCCCTCCCCCATTCCAGCAGCCAGTGTGGGACAGTGAGGAAGGCTGGAGGCTCTGAGGATCTCAGAGGCCACCACCGTGTCCCAAACCCTGAGCTGTGCCGCTCCCCACATTAACACAGAGCAGATGTTCTCATCTTGGGGTCCCCGTGTCTGCCCTCCTTCTCTGTACCCAAAGATCCCTTCCTTGTAGCAGACAAAAGGACCTGTTCTCTTTTCCTCCAAACTCTAGCTTGAGTCAGGGGGATCATCCCTAAGAGAGTGAGTAAGTGTGCAGGGGAAGACATAACCCTCAAGATCCCCAGGAGTTGGGGAACCCCCAGCTAAAGAGGTGAAGAGATTTTCCTAGCTCTTCCCCCCAAATTCCAGCTCGGATGGGGGGCTAGGGGGCTCCCTGGCTGAGGGAACGGGACACCTCCCTCAAAATCCCCAAGAGTTAGGGAACTCTAGGTCATGGAGTGCGGGGATAATCTTCACCCCTCCAAACTCCAGCTAGGATCAAGGGAACACCTCAAGTAAAGGGTGGAGGTGGGTGGTAAAAAGACACCTTCCCTATGATAACCACGAGTTGAAGAACCCCTGGCTGATGGCAGGAGGACATGGTCCTCTCCCCCCCCAAACTCCAGCCCCGATCGGGGGGACCCCCTCCCTGGGGTTGGAGGTTGAGGGCAGGCGGTAAGGGACCACCTCCCCTAAGATCACTACGAGTTGGAGAACCCCTTTCTGATGAAGTTGGGTGACCATCCAAAGAGAACCGTCACAAAAGAGGCCCGGGCAAAGTTTGCTCCCAAGTGCGCGCGTCCCCTCCACGTCGCCCCCTCTCCAGGCGCGCAAAGTTGAAGACAGAGAACAATGCGCCGCCGGGCCCGGGGCCCTGTGCAAGGGGGACGCATGCAACCCTCCCCCGGGGGCTCACCCCAAGCCCAGCCTCCCCGCGGACCCGAGAGAGACCCGGAGGCAACTTTTTTTTCCATGCACTAAGCAGAGAAGGAGGGGGGTCCCCACCGTGCGCGCGTGCCCGTGCGCCCCACGCGCGCGCCCGGGACCCCTCCGCGTGCGCTCACCTGCTGGGCGGGGGCGCCGGGGCTCCCTGCTGCCCACCGCCCTCGGGGACCCCGGGGACAAAAGGGTGGCGGGCGCGTCCCCGAGGGTCGCGCGTGGGCGGCGGGAGCGCGCAGGGCTCGGGGGCGCGCGTCCTTCCTCCTCCTCCCTGCTCGCGTTCGCGTCGGCTGGCCTCTCCCGGGCTTCTCTCAGGGCAGGCCCCGCGGGAAGGGACCGTGGCGGAGGCGGCAGCGCGCGGCGGTGGCCTGCGGTGGCCCGCTACGCCCGCAGCCGCCGGCGCTGCCTCATCTTCCTGCGGCGGGAGACATGTTCCGCCCCGCCACCCCGCCCCGGGCCGCCCGCGGAAGCCACGCCCCCGGGAGGCCACGCCCACCGCCCGAAAGCCACCTCCCCCAAGTCGCTGCACCGTCCCCCGAGCGGATGCTCTCCGCGGATCCCTCCGCCGCCTCTTGAGGCGACGCCAACGCTCGCCGCCTCGTAACAGTCATTGCCAAAACACCCCCAGAGATTACTGCGGCTCCCGGAATCAACGAGTGTCTAACACTAAACTACTTCCGGCGAAGACATGATCTCGCGAACCGAGGAAAAGCCTTAGGGACTATCTTCCTACGCGGTGGCATACACTGCGCGAAGCGTCAGTGACGCGATAGGGCGGGGCCACGAGATTGAAAGATAAAGCCCACCACAGGCGACCAATGGAAAGACGGGAAGCCTTGATTGGCAGGAACATCGACCATGGAGTCCCGTGTACAGTCCCGCCCCCCCAGCAGAGGCGGGATTCTCAGAGCGAGAGGCCGCGAGAAGCTGCAGGGACGGGAAGGCGGTGGAAGGGCGGGGGTTGGGACTCTATTTTCTGGTTGTTATGCCCGCCGGCGCCGCCACGTCGAAGGGATTCTATTTGAGTTTCTGGGGCGGGCCCTGAATGTTACGTGTTGCGAGCGGGTATCTCAAAAGTCTCCCGACTTCGGGATGTCAGATCCTTGATGAGAGGCTAGGAAACTGTGGGTCATTCTGTTGAGTGCTGAGGGACCATCAGCTTTTCCTTCTCTTGAAAATAGATGCTCTGTGATTGGTATAATAAAACATGTCGGGCGTTAGCACACGGCTTTAATCCCAGCACTGGGGAGACAGGAGCGGATCTCTGTGAGTTCGAGGCCAGCCTGGTGTACAGAGCGAGTTCTAGAAAAACTCCAGGGCTACACAGAGAACCCCTATCTCCAAAAACACAAAAATAAATAATAACGGGTAAAGGGGGGACTGGGGAGGGAGGGCAAACTGTGGTCAGGATGTAATATACGAGAGAATAAATTGAGAAAAAAAAAAAAAAAAAAGCCAGGTGTGGTGGCGCAGGCCTTTGATCCTAGCTCTCCGGAGGGGAGAACAGAGGCAGGCAGATCTCTGAGTTTGAAGCCAGTTAGAGCAAGTTGCAGGCCAGCTGGGGCCTATCTTTAATTTACAAAAAAAAAAAAAAAGTGGGGAAACATTCTCAGCTCTTTCTGAGGGTTCTAATGTCCATCTGTCCTCACTCGCGGTGTCTGCACAGCCCCCTGGGGTTCCCAGTCCTATGAAAGGAAGATGGTGCCAGCAAGGGGCGGATACATAATGTAACTGTAGCTACACAACTCTCTTCTTCCACCCAGACTCCAGTCAGAAGCAAGGACGCTCCCCCAGAGTCACACAGGAAGACTGGTGTGGAGCAGAACTCTAGGTTCCAATCCCTTCGGAGCTGGCAGGGGTGAGGAAGGGTCTCACGTAGCCCAGGCTAGCTTCCAAGTTCCTATGTAGCCAAAGATGGACTGTTGGCATCCCACACGCCCTCCTACCACACCTGGTTATGTGGTGCTGGGAAGAAAGCCAGGGCTTCATAGATCCCAATTGACCTCTCTACCAATTCTGCCCGGGGCCCCCCAGTTCCGGTCCTTTATCCTCACCCCATGTCTCAGAGCCCGTGGGCAGGTTCTTGCTAGTATCTGGGATACAGTTTACCCATACAGAAAATCAGAGGGCACAGTCATGGGCACACAGAAGGTGTCACTGCACGAGTTCTGCCTGTCCAGGCGAGGAACTTGGGCGTCACGGATTGCAGCTCTGTGCCCGAGGCCTGAGGCCCTTCCTGTGGCTCAACCCTGATTCCACGGGTCTGAGTGTTTGGACACCCAGTTGGGGATGCTTTGTGCTGGGCACTGGCTGGTTCCCTGTGGGCTGTGACACCCCTCGTCCTGTCAGCCAGAGGTTTCTCCTTCATCTGCCCCACATGTAGTCTTTCCGACCATGAGCTGTCCTGTCCTTCCCAAGAAGTGAGTCCATTATACAGAGAAGGAGACTGAGGTTCTGAAAGCTCCCAGTCCACCCCCGGGGCCACACACCTGCAGGGAGCCTCTCCAGGCACTCACAAGCCTCTATTGTCTTCCCTCAGGAGGCCCATCTTGGGGGCTGAGTCACCGGCTGTGGTGGGGAGCACTCTCTCGGCTGTCACCTCTGCCCAGCCCCGAGCCTTGGGTGTGCCCTGGCAGAAGGACAAGCTGCCAGGGGCTAGAGCCAGGGCCCCTTGAGGGCGGCCCACGGCCCGCCCGCCCCCACCCTCCTGACTGTGCCCTTTGTTCTGCTGTGGATGCTGGGGAAACCCGCCCACCTGCCTCGGAACCCGTCCCACTCAGCCATATGAACTGTGTGTGCAACCTGGAATCTACAGCCATTTCTGCAGGAGTGTAAAGCACTCCTAGGTCCCGAAGAAACAGAGAGGATGGCAGGTGGAAACCCCGGCCTCTGTACAGGCCCACTATCTCCACTACTCGGGGAGACTGAGGCAGGAGGAGGACAAGGTCAAGGGCACCCTGGAAAACTTATTGGGATGTTTGTCTGAAAAGCTAAAAAGAAGGCTGGGGTGTCATGGTGTGAGAACTCACGGGTTGAGCTTCCGCCTAGAATCCCCCGGTGAGGGGGCGTGGTCAGGGTGGAGCCCCGCCTAGAATCCTCCGGCGAGGGGCTGGGGGCGTGGCCATGGTGGAGCCCCACCTAGAATCCCCCAGTGTGGGGCCGGGTCGTGGGCTGGGGCCTGGGCTCGGTCCCCAGAACTGGGTGTTGAGCAGCAGACGGACACAGTTTGTATCTGGTTGCAAACTATAGCAGTTGGTTCTGCGGATTGCGGCCCCATCTCAGTGTAGGAAAGGAAGGATGAGTTGACGCGGGGCTTTTCCACCCTGGACTTGAACAGGAGCTTACAAGAGAGGGGATAGGGTCAGGAGCAGCTGCCTTCCGTGCAGAGACGCTGAGTGGGAGGGTTCTGGACACGGAGGTTGAAACGGGGACTAGGGGTTTCGAGCTTGGTGTTTGTGGCCTTGAGGTGGGAGCAGGGTTCAGCCCAGAGGGCTGGGTGAGGAGTGGATGAACGCATGGACTAGCCCGAATTACAGCCACTCCCCTTGCTGCAAAACCCAGGCTTTGCTTTGCTTTTCCTTTTGTTTTGGAAAGACTCTCTTGATGCCCAGGCTGTCCTTGAACGCACTAGGTAGCCAAGGATGACTTTGAACTCCTCATCCTCCCTTGTCCACCTTCTGGATGCTGAGATGACAGGTGGGCGCCATCCCCTGAGACTTATGTGGTGCTGGGAGTGGGACCGTCCTGAGCTGGCCTAGCGCCATGCCCCGACTCCCAGCCCTGAGCTCCATTTAAAAGGGGTCTTCGTGTATTCATTTTTATGGGTTTGTGTGTGCCTGCATGTATGTATGCACTCCGAGGGTGTGTGTGAGTCCTCAGAGGCCAGAGGAAGATAGCAGATGCCCTGGAACTGGAGGGACAGTTGGTCCTGAGCTGCCATGTGGGCACTGGGAATTGAACCCGGGTCCTGTGCAAAAGCTGTGCCTCTACAGCCCTGACCTCTGACCCAGCCCTGGCCTCCGGGTGAACCCCAAGCCCAAGAGAGGCCTTCGGGTTGAACTTGAACCCAGCTCATCTTGATAGGGGGCTTCAGGAGACCCAATGCACCCGCTGGCAGGGCCACCAGCCTAGGGAGACAACAGCAGCCTTACTCCTGGCCAGGTGCCTCAGGCCCTGACTCAGGTTGCTGGGGGCCTGCTCTGCCACATTCCAGGACAACATGCACAAACACTGGGCGCCTCCCTGTCAGCCCTCAAGGGCACCGTCCAGCCTAGTGACCCCAGGGGGAGGCACAGCAGGGGACAAGGAGCCTGGCCTGGTTTCTACCCACGTGCCAGCCCGCAGGGCATCCCAGCTGACCTCTGCCTGCCGTAGCAAGGGTGAGGTGATGCCCTTCCGCTTTCCAACAGTGTCAGAGTGTCCACCTTCCTCCCAGGAGTGGCCCCGAGGGACGTAACTGAGCGAACCACCCCCTGTTCACATGGGGAAACTGAGGCTCGAGGTGAGAGCTCCCTCACTGGAGGGTGGGCCAGGTTCCTGTGCCAGCTTCTCCTTATGGTCATCTTAGCTCACCCACACAGACGAGGGGGAAGATGCTGACGATTCTGGCCTTCGGGACAGAGGGCGAAAGGTCAGAAGTTACGGGTGGCCCCTGCTGGTGCTGAGGGCCTGAGGGGTGTACTCAAAGATACCGGGACGCAGAGGCACAAGGGACCCAGTGTCCTCGGAACCTGGCCGTGGGATGATGTCCAGGTGAGGAGTGACAGGTAAGGACCCCGTCTGATAGACTGGAAAAGGAGACACCACCAGCAGTGACAAGGAAGTCCCCAAGACCATGTGAGATAAATGGGACACAGACACCCCCAAATCCATAGCTGAACTCAAGGTAAAGGCTCAGGGCCGGGGCACCCCTCAGGGCCTGAGAACTGCTGACAAGGGCAAGTCACCCACGAATCACACCTCCAGAACAAGGGACTAGTGTCCAGCCTCAGTGCAGGCCACCTGTCAGCCAGCCTCCCAGCCTCCCACAGCGCCCCAGCCCAGGTCAGCTCTGAACACCCAGGGGAGGCCTGCGCCCTTAGCCTCATGTCCTTCTTGGCCATCTGTGCCCTTGGGCCCTCCCAACAGCCAGCCTTGCCTGTTTCGGTGGCTCCCTCCCAGCTGGCCTTTTCCCAGGCTGTGGCCCCCTCACTGGTCATCCTCCCACTCCAGCCCACCTCACCTCTCTGTATTAATCTCCGGTGGTTGTTGGCAGATTACCCCCTTCAAAGGCAGGAACTCCCCATATTCCTATGACAGTTCCTTGTGTGTGTGTGTGTGTGTGTGTGTGTGTGTGTGTGTGTGTGTGACAGACACAGATTGGAGACAGGTATGTGGCCAGAGTCACACACACACACACACACACGCACAGATAGACACACACACGTACACACACAGAGAGACACA